GCATCAGCCTCAATCTTTGAAAAATGAACGGCTTGGTAGCCACTCCCTCCCCCAAGTAACAGGGACCGTTGGGTCCCAGTCTTTTATGAATGATGAATGTTGACATGAAAGTTGAATTGATAATAATCATCCTTTGGCACGCATGTAGAAGTTCAGTTCGAGGAATGAATGTTAGCGTGAACGACGAATTGTCTTGAATATTGAATGTTCGCTTGAATGTTAAACGTTTCCGTATGAATGTCGAATGTCGATCTGGGTCCTATATTGAACCAATAATGAAGCTTTGAACAACGAATGTCGATGTACATTTTTGTCCGTAAATACGCGCCATACGAAATACCATATGCCCATCGAGTCAACTGATGGTATGTACTTCATGTAAGGCTACAGTTATGTCATATCCTGCGGCCTGACACATGCGCAGGGTGGTTCTGTCTACACACCTCGCTGAGCAAAATGGACGAAACTACTGTGATTTACTACGTCGACAATGAAGATATGCCGTACCGTGTAAAGCTGCTTAAAAGTCCTTCAGAAGCAACTCTTTTGGATTTAAAAAATGTACTCAATCGGCAGAGTTACAAGTTCTTTTTCAAAAGTAGGGATGATGATTTCGGGTGAGTTGATGTGTACCTCCTGTACGCTTTATGTAGATTTCTTTCTTAGCAGTGTTTACGTTGTCTTCCTCGCCCCAAAGTCATGATTTCGTACACTACGGCTTTTCCGTTAAACGGGTAAAAATAAACGGTTTGTAAACGGATAGTAAACGGGTAGTAAGAGCGTTTAAGGCAGAAACCGTTGCGACCAATTATACGAATTGTTCATGCGGAACACTGACATTTCATGCTAATAATATTCGACTGACAACGATAGAAAACTAAGTAAAATTAAATTACTAGCCTGCAATTAAGCTATCCACTGGCGAGTGAAGCGAGCCGAGAGCGAGTCTCGCCTTGGAGAGCTCGCAATGCGTTTGAAAATTTATATAAGCAGAGGAAGCAATCTGTGAATCATACCATGAGGACTGAACATTCTCGATAGAAAGAAAATAGAGTTGAGGAGCAAAGACGTTTTTTTTTTTTCATGTTCCTACATTGTTTCCTCTACTTATTGACTGAAATGAAAACGCACTATCAAGTGAAAAACGTGAAGAAATGCCGCTGATTTTGTAGATTTCAACGTCGGTTAATCGAAACAATTTTGCATACGCATTTAACAAAACTCAACTTTCTTTCGCTCGTGTTTCATCTAGCATTCGATTTCGTAAAGTAATGTGTAATTACAGCTTTTATAAAGCAATTTCCGTTTCCTTTCAATCGATGGAAATAAAAGATGAGAAACTCGATAGCCACGGATTTTGTAAATTTTGCCGTACACGTCAATCGAAATAAATTTGCATAATCATGAAAACAAATCTCGCTCTCGTTAAACGGATGTATTTTATTTTAAACGGATAGGTTAACCGTTTAAATGTTTTGTCGAAAACGTTAAACGGATGAGCAAAGCGTTTAAACGGATGGAGAAAGCGTTTAAACGCTTTAATGGTCCGTTTTAAACGGATAGTGAACGGATAGTAAACGGATTGATTCGTTAAACGTTAAAGCGTTAGTGTACGAAATCCTGTGCCCGGTCACATTTACTGTATGACCAAACAACAGGTTACTGACAGGTCACCACCTTTCATCCAACAGTTGGCCAAAACTTTGGCCTGAAACATAATGAAAACTGTCAGTCGACAGTTGGCCAACTGTTAGTCAACAGTCGGCTGACAATATCTTTTGCAAACTGTTCTTCACTATTACCTTTCTGGCTTTTCATACTTGCTAGCACATGAGGTGTAAGTTTACAGTTGTGCTGTGATTAGAGACTCCATGGGGTGTCTCGAAAACTCAGACCCCAGACCCGAAAAACTCAGACCCTCTGAGTGTCTCGAAAACTCAGACCCAAAAAACTAAGACCCTCTGGGTGTCTCGAAAACTCAGACCCGAAAAATAAAACATATTTACACTGCATGAATGCTGCAAGCCGACTTGTTGACTGTTTGACGATACAGTGGCATTACGTGCACTGATCATGAAAATTATCTGCCGAGAAAAGAAAAAACAGCTTGCAGTGTTAGACACGTGCAACAATCATGAAAATTATACTCAACATTCATATAGATTTTTCTTTTCATTACCGTATAAGCCAAGTTTATATCCACAACGTGTCGTGTCATTAGAAGCCATTTGCGAGGTGTGTTGCATGATGGTTCCCTGTACAAATACGGGACCGGCGTCACACGACAGTAGCAGCGGATATTTGAAACCTGATACAACCTTTCAGGGTCCTTATACTTCCCTCATTTTAAAGAATAACTGTGTATAAACGGTTCTTTGTTTATCTTTTCTTTAACCTATTGACGTCCAGTGCGCCCGTATGCGCCCGTATGCGCCCATGGGGACCCACACCCTTTCTATTCCTTGTGACGTCATCACTTTTAACCCTGGAGCACAAATTTGAACATGTACTTGAACAGGTTGAAAATATCGTACAAACGATACCAGAATGAGTGCAATTGAGTGAAGGAGATTGGAGAAATAGCCAGAAAACCATGTAACTTTTGACCTGGAAATCTGGATGAAAATCTTGTTGCATTACCAACCTACCTTTCAGAGCATGTGGTTTGAAAAATTAATAATGAGTAGTTTCTGAAAAATCTCTACACCAAAATGAAGCCTACTAAATTTCCAGCAAGTGAGGAGAAACTTCAGGCAAGGAGAAGGGAAAAAAAGGGCAGGAGAAAGAGAGAAAAGTAAAAGTCATAAGTGGGGCATTACTTTTCAACCCAAAAACTATCTCCAAATTTTGCTTTCTGCGCGTGCTCGACATTTTCAGGCCGCCATTTTGCATTTGGATCGAAAGGCCGTCGAGTGTACGAGCTGTCAAGGGGTTTTTGGTAAGTTTGAGCTTTTAAAACCACAACAGTGACCCGAAATCTGCTCGACTAGCTTCAAAACACAGTTTTCCACAAAAGCTGCGGCCATTAATGGGTTAA